AAGTCCTAAGCAACACTTGTGAAAATATTTGTTACAATATTTTCAAGTGTTAGGACAAGACCGAGATGAGCAAGATTAGAAGTTGTGACAGAGGTATTTTACCCGAAGAGATTGCACAGTCAAGGTGTACTTTGAAGACATGCAAATTATTCTAAGTATAGAATCATACAAGAGCAGAAAAAAGAAGACATACATTCAAAGAAGAAATCAGAGAAATGCATTTAAAGAAGAAAGAATGCACTTCGGCCTGAATATTGAAAAATAAATTATTCATACTACAAAAATGGCACGTCGGCTAGATTAAAAGCATACAAAGACGGACAAAGTACAAGGTACAAGGTACAAGGAGTAAAAGAAGGAAACAAAACTACTCGACATCAATGGCAGGATATAGAAGACAGTTGGGAAGACTTCTCAGCAGCCTTCTCGGCCTCGAGCTCAGCATCGATCTCCCGAAGAGTTTGATCAAGGCTCTTCTCAGCGATTGGCACCTCGGAGTTTGAAGGCAAGGATTGAAAGCAAGAATCTGGAAAAAGACACAGAAAACAGAAACAAGAATGTAATTCGTAATCAAGAATGGTGATGAAGCTATCAGGAAATCAAGACAAAAAGATTGCACATGTGTGTCAAGCCAAGAACAGTGGCAGAAATCAACAGATGTGTGAACAGTGTGTATTCAAGAAGATGATTTGGAAACAACGGGTAAAATAGCAATGGTGATTAACAATGAAGCAGAGCTTCTTGGAAAGCAACAAGAAATAAAACCAGGAGGAACAATGGCTTACCAGAAAGAAGGAAACCGGAATGAGAATTGCTGAAGTTTGACGACAATGACAGAATAACGTAAGCTTCACCGGAGGAGAGAAACGAAGACAGTTGCAGAAGCTTGAAAGCTTGAAACAATAACGGATTTAAGCAAAAGAGCTAGAAAGAGAAAAAGCCAGAGGATTGAATAACAAAAGAGAAAAATAGTCAAGAAGACGACAAAGTTCAAGAATAAAACCAAGTGCACAGGCACTAAGTAAGTATGTGAAGAACAAGAAAGTAATGACCCAGACACGATACTAGCAACAGAAAGTGGATATGACAAGAACAGTGCCAGGCATTCAAACAATTCAAAACTTGAAGACAGACGAAAATAGAAGGCAACAGATGGCAAATAAACAGATTCAGAAGAGTTATGAAAGATTGAGCTTAATAGCAAGTAAAGAGTTTATGAACCTAAAAAGTGAAATAAACGCCGATATGAAAATCGCCGGAGTCAAATAGATGACTGGAAATCGGGAACTCACCAGAGAGTGTGAGTGGAGCAGTTGCAAAGCTCTTGGAGTTTACGAATTAATGGAACCAGAACCTCGGCTAGGAGGTGTGATTTCAAGCAGCTTAAAAAGCATGAAACTTGATTCTTGACACCAGTGGACAGTAAAGTCTAGGGAACTTTAAGGTCGGCAAGTTTGATCTCGGACAGAGGGGCACAGATGAACGAACAGTGTAGGTTCCATCACCTCAGAATGCCGAAGTAATAGAACCTAGGGGACAGTTGTGGGGATATATTTTCTGAGTACCAACACGTGGCAAGGTGACGCTGATGTGTCAGCCGAAGTGCTACGTGTCCTGGTCGTGACGCCGAGGTGATCTCGGCAAGGCCGAGGTTATCTCCGAAGATATCGGAATCCGAGATAAGTGGATAAGGGACAAGAGTCCTAGAATGAAAAGGGAACTCAACCTGGATGAGGGACAAGAGTTCTAGAATGAGAGAAGATTTCAGTTTGTATTAAGATAAGACTCTTAGAGAGTTTATCCTAATCTTACTGGGAGTCCAAGATTAGCAGTAATCCTGAGTCCATAGAAGTTAGGCTTCTATTGGGACTAGGTTTGTGTTGGCTATAAAAGAGAGGCACCCCCATGGGTCTAAGGTTTGCTTTTTAGGCTCAAGCTTGTGAGTTGAATAATTGATTATCTTTGAGAGATATACTGACTTGATCGTCGGAGTGCCCCCGGGTGGACGAACCACCGCGGGATTCTTATATTTCTGTTGCAGGTCAGTCAGGTGCTATCTATTCTGCCAGTGCTCTCCAGCTGAATTACTGAGTTGGCAGTGTGGTCGGAAAATTTCCCACACACTTATATACATATTTAGCAGGAATTAATTCTAGTTTTTCTTTTTAAATTTTTTCTATTTGTTGTTCTATATCTATAAATTCTTCCATTTTAATATCTTCATCTTCATTACGCTTTTTGCTACTACTTCCTTTTACTAGCTGTTTAAACATTTTTATTTTCTGTAAGTTCTACAGGCAGGTTTCTTTGGTAATTTGAACTTTTCAAAATATCTAGCTATATCTTCTTCGTTTATTTGAGATTGAGGTTGGTTTGTTGGTCCTTCTACTCCTTTTCCTTTTTGAAGTATTAATCTTTCTAAAGAAGCTAAACGATTTTCTAAACTGTGTAATTGTTCTGATAATTCTTCAAATTTTTCACACAATCTGATTAGAAATAAAATTTCTATATTATTTTGTCTTACTGATTTTTTATCTGACTGATTTATTCCTTGATAGCTACTGATTCCTTCTGGGTTATTATGGAAGTCTTCTGCTTGTTTTAAGATAATCTGGTAGTCCCTATTAGCTTTTTTATCACTACTCATAAACTAAGATCTTATTAGTTGTTCTAAAATTTCTAATTTCTGTTTTAAATTATCTTGAATTTGGTTGATTTGTTCTATTTGTTTAGCTATTTGATTTATCTGGCTATGGATTTGTTCAATTAGTTGTTTAAATTCTAACTCTATTTGTTTTGAGCTACTAGTATTTATAGTTGAAATTAGAGTTTCTATTTCTAGCTTAGTGGAATTTTTTTCTAAATTTAAATCTATTCATTTTTGTAAAATTAAACTACACTAGTCTTGGATATAATCTAATTTTTTATCTTGATCTTTAGTTATACTACGAGTATTACGAGAATGATCTATAGATGAAATAAAAAGATTACTAATTTTAACTACGTTTTTTTAATATTTTTTACAAAATTAATCTGATAATCTATGATACTATTTAGTTGAGAATTATATTCACTATGGAGCTGGTGTGAAAAAGTACCTTCAAAATTACAACGAAATTTATTTTTATCTATGCTAAGACGATGATTATGATTGCTGAGTTCTAAATCTAAATATTCTACTCTTTTCATACACAAAATTAAATCCTACTTTAAAATTATTAAAAGCTACTATAATTTGAAATTTATAACTAAATTGTCACAAAAAAAAAAATTACTCTATTTCCATAGGCAAAATGAATAAACTAACTTAAACTGTCCTAAAACCGAACACTGTTCTGATACCAATTTTTTGGGGGGTGATGAGTTAGTGGTCTACCACTATTTTGAAATTGGGCTGAGAATTATCTAATCAATTGTACAGTTATGCTAATAAGGCTTCAAGCTGTTGTATAGCTAGTTGCAAAGCTTCTTGTTTTACCATTACCTGTCTGTTTAGCTGAGAAATTTTCGAACTACAATTTTCTAGAGATCTACCAGAAGCTAATGATAATAGAAATTGATATTTTAATTTTTGATCTTCTAATTCTTGTATAAGCTCAGTACTGGTTCTAATTTTAATCCTAAGTTCTTCTTCTAAAGGCATACAATTTTAATTTTTTAAATTCTTTTATGAACAATATTTCCTTAATATTTCTACTCGGGCTGCTCTCCTTGTATTCTAAAATTCTTTTTTTTGGCAAAACTATTTTTAGGCAATGTTTGTTTTCATTACATGTACTCCCACCTTGAAACTAAGTCTCGTTCAACGTAGTATATTTTTATTTTCTATTCCTTACCTTTCCCCTTCTGCCTACAATTTGCTCTCAAACGCCTAACCACGGCTCACACGAGCTCTTCAGCTAAGGTCACTCAGTAATATAATAGAAAACAACAGATACTACGAAGGTGTAAAGCATGTAATATTAATGAGCAAACAAGCATTCCATAAACTTAGTTTTTCCAAAAAGAAAATAAATTTTTAGAATAGAAGAGTTACCCTTTTGAAATATTTAAGGAAAAAGAGAGACTACTCACACTTTATATTAATAAATAGTATACTTACAAAGATTATATTACAGACTTTGAAATTCTAAAAGACATGGAACACTTAGAATTTTTGAGAGGAGTCGGAAATTTTTACAACGTGGAGTGAAAGGAAATTTTTCATTCTGCTTCTTTCGTTTGCATGAATGCTAATTTATACACATGGTTGATAGATACATACAAATCTATATGTCAAAAGCTTGGACTCAAAAGTCTAAAAGACTACTCAAGCCTAAGCCATAGATGTTACTAAAATTTCTATGACATAAATGCATAGACTTTGACTCAAATTACTATTCTAGATATGGATAACTGAATTTTATCAATAAAAGATTAGGATAATGATATCGGGTACTGCTTTGGGCCCCATCGCATATCATTTAATTCTCATTTTTTGATATAATTTTGACACTATAATTTATTACAAAACACGTGTAAGAATTTTCACAACTTTTCTTTAATGGAGTAGGGTGGGGGTCATCTGTTCTATTAAAGTAGTGAGTGAAGGAAAAGCCTTACTACTGACAGACGTAAATAATTACAGACACAAATATTTACAAAATCTTTTGTCATTTCCTGATGTACATTTCTCTAAAGAGAGGCCTTTTCTTCTACGGATTTTGTTTTCTTCTTCTAAGGTACCAATTATTGATGTAGACCCGCAGAGTAAATCTTCAAGGTGGATCTACAAAGGGTCAAAGGAAAATTTTTGGGTCTAGAAATTAAGGGCTGGTTAGGATACTTCCAAAATTTCAAACTATTACAATAGTCTAATTATGGTGCGCACAGTTTTTTTTTTTTTTTTCTCACCCGCATCACCGATGGCTGGTTCATTTCATTTCCCCATTGATTATCTTGGTCATCTTCTTCTATTAGTGGTGACTCATTAGAGACGCAATACTGATATTTATATTTATAATAACGAGAGTATTATATTTATTTTGCGTTTGGTTTGGAAGACAAAATCGGAGTCGGTTGATGATTGAAAAAATAAATAAAAATCTGAGTCGGTGTATTTTTTTATTAAAATTCAAATGAAAGCATTGTGTTGTGGCCATGGCGAGTACGGAAGCTTCACGGACGTGCTCAAATTGAAATCAAATGTATCCAGTAGGTCTATTTGATCAACGTAATTAAACTAAACTCATCTTCTGAGATCATGACACCATTATTTTGAATCTCTCTCTCTCTCTCTCTATATATACGTGTGCCTTATATGTATTTGATAAATTGTTTGAAAGTCCTATGTAGTGTTTTTCTTTGTTCAAGGCAGAGTCAGTTTACAAAGCATGTCTTTGGCTAGCACTAGCTGTGGGAAATTGGAGTTGTTGAAGAGCTTGGTGATTACACCACCAGGGAGAACTTCAAAGGCCTATCAGAAGAGAAATTTGATGTAGTATTCGATATAGTTGGTAGGTAAGATTCTGAATCTTATTTGTTATTTACTAAAATCCAAATTTATTTACAGTGATTGTTGTTTGTTGCATTCTGAGTGTACATATCTGCATATTGTATAGTTTGTATTCAGAATAATAATAATAATCCTAAGAAAATTAGCAAGCATACTCAAGTTTTCATCCTTAAGGACTTAGGAGCTGTTCTTGGTCAGCATAGCAGGTTTCTTCTTCACTTCCATCCAACAGAAAGTTCATCTTTCTGTTTTGCAGATTCATGTTATATGAACAAAACTTTTGTACAAAATTCTCATTCTCATACAGAATGATGTGCGGGTTTGTTGTCCTTTCAATTCAAACTAAAACACTTGCTATTGTGGCTCATAATTCCAAAAATACTAGTGCCACATCTGTCCTAGAGAAATTGAAGCCTTTATTGGAGAGTAAGAAGGTGAAGCCGGTAATCGATCCTAAAGGTTCATTTCCATTTGCCTAGGATGTTGAAGGATTCTCTTATCCCAAAACTGGTAGAGCTAGTACTGGAGAAGTGATCGGATATCGGTTTCCGTTAGATGAGCTCATATTGTGAATTACTAGTAACTTAGTAAGTGTTTGGTTGTTCATTAATGGCAACTTCTTTGACAGATTGAGATTGTAGATGATGTGTGTCAGTTGAGAGGTTTTACTTTACATGTTTAAATTTGTTTCCTGTTATCTAATTTTCTCCGTTAGATTTCTTCTAGTTTTAGTTTAAAATGTATCTAAATTTAGAAAAAAAAAAAAATATTGTAATATTAAAAAATTCATACACTTTCCCAACCAAGTAGGACTTTTTTTTATATATATGTATATATTTTTTCCCCTTCCTTGTTGAGTTGGTAAAAATTCATATAACTGGATCTTTGGAAAACAAATGGATATATTTTAAGGAGGAAAGGAGTGTTGTATACATTTTTATGTGATCGAAGACATGTTGAATGAAACTAGCATGAGACAATTGTGAGTATAAAAGTGATGAAAGACTCGATGATGTGGTGGATTTTATATGCTGAAGGAGACTAAACTTGATCTCTAATGAACAATTTGGTAAATAAGTGAATCTTAAAGCATAAATATCTGATTACTGGTTATGAGGCAGTTTGATTGAGGTTTCCTCATCCAATATGCTCTATGCATTTTCTTTTCTGGAGAGTGGTGAACAGCTCAGCTAAACAAGGCCAACAATATTAGATTCAAAACTATTTACCACTCCTAAACCAATATATGTCACGACTTTGACTTCTTCTTTTTTTTTTTTTTTTTTTTTTTTTTTTTTTTTGGGTCTTTCTACAATAGGTAGGAGGCGAATAGGGGAGGGGGAAGCTTCGTCACATGGCAAGCAAGACTCGAACCCAGGCATCATACCTGGTAAGGGAGTACCTTATTCATTTGGCCAATCCCTGGTAGTAGACATGGCTTTCATGAGTTACAAATATGCAATATTGTTAGACTGGGTTACCATCAACAGATTAATACTTTGATCATTAAAAAAATACCCTAATTCAATTCCATCTTCATTGCTGAAGTAATTAATTGCTATCTATTTTATGTTCACACAGCTGTGAAAACTTTAAGGGTCACAGAAATCCAAGGATTAAACACCATGCCAAGAATATGACAAAAAATGGAGAATGAAGCCAAAAGTTGAAACAAGCAAAGCTATACGCATAAATTTTGCTCATATACTCATCCATAAACGGCTCATAGAATGTTATTAGATACCTTCAGTAAGTGAAGGTAAATTATTCATTATAAAGTCACATACAATATCACAACAAGGTACATGGATTTTGTTTCACATAGTTAATACATAATGGAAATGAGCTACATTTCCATGTTTATTGTTTCATAATTATAGGTTTGCTCACTCGTGGAGTTTTAGACTCACTATTTTATGTCTGCCTCCTAGAACATGTTAGTCTTCTTCAATATTCAGAAACTTTCTTTAGAGTCCAAGCACCAACAATAGAAATCAGACCTTGAGATTTCCAACATTTCCTCTGGATTCATTCTCTCAAGTTCGCTTTGCCTCCATTGTGCAAAATTGTTACGGTTCTGTGGGTCAGTAGCAAGTGGGTAGTCCTCCAGTTTATGAACTTGGGACCTCATTCTCATGTAAAGCCTCATTGTAGCTACACAGTCATCATAAGGATCTTGTATACCAGTTTGAATGTCATACCTGTAAAACAGAATTTTCGTTACTACTTGAAAGACTTATATTAATAATTTTTTGACTGTAGGATCATAAGTGCATGAAGGGTAATTACCCGAGGTATGCTTTTGTTAGGTACTTCAGAGAGTTGCTGAGTTTGCTTGTTTTCATCAGTGGAGGATATTTCGCTGTGTCCCTGTAGAAAAAAAAGAAAAGAAAAAATCGTTGAATTTTAATTTAAGTCTTGAACATGGGGCTGTAGCAATGAGTTTATATCTTTACAGTCCAATTCTTTCAATTGTATAGAATACGAAGTGATGCCAAATAGCTATTAAAAAACTGGACTGCTGATGGCTTGAAATCTTGGATGTCAGGACTCACAAGCTTCCTTACTCAGCTTACCTGATCATTATTGCTGGGTACTCCACTTCTAAGCATTTAAGATCGTGATCCAAGCCATGACCTATGAGAATTGTTGCTTTTCCACCTCTAGATCGGATTTTCCATAATGGTTCACCATTGCATAAAAAATCTTGGATCTTCCTTGATGCTTGCCTCAGTGGTATAGCATCTCTTAAGAATTCTGGTCGTACGCCTGTTGTCTCATACCTAAGTAAAATTAACCCTTGATTAGAGTATGGTATTTAGTAAGCAGCAGTTACTTGGGAATCTCAATATAAACTCATTAGTACCTATAGTTCGTGACAGGAAGATGAGGCTTGACATAGGTGTGAAAGATGATGTTCTCATATTCATCAATTAGGGAAACCCTTGCACAAAGATCTAAGGTGCCATCACTGCCACCACCAACCATTTTGCAAGCAAGTGCAGCAACCTTTGTTCTACTGTTGTCAATCTTCAAGTCATCATAGATGCCTAAGTTAGCCATGCGATAAAGTAGGCCCTGAAAAAATCAAAATAGGTTGTGTGTTTTAGAATCACTATGGAAAATGAAAAAGAAGGAAAAAAAAAGGGGGCATTTTGTGCTTCAATTGCAAGTATGAGGATTTTTACAGGGCTTGGACGTGAGAGTTGGCATGTCTCTCGGTGGACCCTAAGAGCATTTCGGCTGCTAAGGGTGGTTAAGCAAAGGTCGCATCCTCGTTCTTTGAATATCCTTTCACATTCTGCCTTTGGCAATGGCCCTGAAGAAGCAAATGAGTAACATTGTAATCAAGATCAATTTTATGAAGAAAAATATCAGCAGAGCTCTGGTTGTGAATTAAAAGTTTACCTATGAGATGCTCCCTCAGAGATTCAAATGATCGGCAATGTTTCTTGCAAATTCCACATGTGGGTTCATGAACTGAGTGATAAGATGTCCTCATGTGTTCCACTAGATGCTCCATTTTGTTGAACTGTCTATAGCATGCTGCGCACTTGTTCCTGGTTACAGAAGTCATTATTGAAACTTACATTTAGCAGTAGTTGTTTAGCATTGTAAAAAATGTTAATAGAAAACCAGGCCTAAAATCATTATATCTGAAGTGAATATGTATCAAATAGGCCCGTGTACATATCTGTGTGTATCAAAGGAGGAGAGTGGATATGTACCGAAGAGTGTCTGAAGACTCCATTCCGTTGTCCACTAAAGTAGCTAGTGAATCAGAGCCCTACTTGAGAGATAAGAAGACTTGGAGGAGTTGAAGAAGAAGGTGAGGATATGAAGGTATTTATATTAGTAGGAGAGGGCCAAAAAAATAAAAATCTTCAACTTGAGCTCAATAAATTATTCCTTAACGCCAATCAAGTTACCTGACCTTTGGAGTATCTAGGATACGTTGGCCTTGATGTATCATCCTAACGCAAAACATTCGTGGTAATCCAAATCGTTGGGCCCCCAGGTTTTGACTAGAATATTTATCTTTCTACCATGCCCTCTCTCTCTCAACTTTGGCTTAATAGTTGCTGCTTAGGCGATTCCCGCAATGAAGCTTACATTGACATCTCTTTTGTAAGAACTAGGCTGAGTCAATGCATTTTACATGTTATATGCATTACAACTACCATTGGTGGATTTCCTTATGTTAGGGATCAAACTGTACTTAATAGTAATGATTTCACCACCCATCTCTTTCTTTGTGTACTAGAACAATATAGAACCGTCCCTGGTTAATCAGCCAACAGAGATTCCTTATATATGTTGCCCCTAGACAAACCTAGGAGTTATTTACATGTCTTGATGTGGACTACTTGTTGTTTAGTAGTCATTATGGTTTAAACATTAAGTTTAGATGAATTCTGCTGGCATGCAACTTATAGAGTACATGACCAAGACTGAAAAGAAAAATATATTTGTTTCTGTTAATTAAATATTGAGGATTGATTTGTTTTCCTTTCTAGTGTAGGTTGTTTTACTTCTTGTTTCAGTGGCTGTTACTTCAGTAATTTGGACCAAATATCAGCACAAAAAGGAGCCTGAAAACTTTTTGATTCAGGGAATTTAATGGGAGGAATGCGCTATATTTGAGGTGGATAAAGAAAGGTTCAAATTGTTTATGATAGAATATTTTGTTAACTCAGGGTTTCAAAGGCTAGACTACTCCATCGGGTACACACAATCATCCTCAAATCACGCGTGTCGGTAACCTTTGCATACTTTTGGCAAAAGTAAATGAGACTCTACACCTTATCAAGAAGCTTGATGGCAGGTTGTTATCTCTTTCTTTTTTATTTGGATTAAGCATTATCTTGTCATTTTTAGTCACTGCATGCATGTATTATTCCTGTGTACAAGATTAACTCTCGACACACATCACACAACACAAGAGAGAGAGAGAGAGAGAGAGAGAGAGAGAGGTTTGACTTTTAAAATATGGACTATCTTTTGACCAGGGGAGGGGGTCCAGCAGATTCTTGCTTTGAAGATTCTCAATTGCCAATGCTAAAGTTTTTTTGGGTGAATGCCAATGCAAAAGTTAGTGTAGTAATTGGAGAATATTTCACAGTGATTCGTTTTGGTCCACCGTATTTCACAGTGACTGCTAATTGCACCTACATGATGCTTTTCCATCACTCTCTACTCTCGAATGTCAAACCAAAAGCCTTGGGAATGTGCTTTCCACGGGATGACAAACCTCCACAACCACAAGGTACTCTTCCTGATTATTTAGAGCCATGATCCTAAAGTGTGGTTGACACAGGGTACGTTTTCTATTCGGTTAGGTTGGGTATGATAATCTTCTGAAAATTTGACAAAAATTAATAAAAAATAAAATTACATATTGCTGATGTTTTAGGGAAACATTGCGGATACTTGAAAACTATTGAAGAGAAACTTCAAGAAACTATCAATAAATTCCTATGGAAAACTACTTCAAAACTTAATGGACTTTTTATGATTTTGTTTTGAAATATTTATGACAAATATAAAAATGTCTTATCAATTTTTTTGTGCATATTTGCATTCAAGAAAGATTTATATTACTAAATTCATTGGTTCATGTTCAATTTAACTACCGGTTGTTATAGAAATCTAGAACATTTAATATCCTTTTACTTCATATTTTAAATGAACCATAATTAATTTTGTTAGTTGTTTTTTAGTTGTGTAAAAATAGAACCTTTTGTCTTGTTTTGTTTTATTTTGTTTTATTTTTTTTTCAATAGCAATTTTATAACTCTTGTTAAGTGATTGTCATCATTCTAGATGTGCATCCTATAAATATTTATTTTCATCCATCAAACAATTTGCTGTGGTTAAACTAGTTGAATTTATATGTTCAAATTCGAGTAAAAGTGTCTCTTGGGTTTACTGATGATACAATCATTAACATATTAGTTTTAACGTCACAACCAAGTATAGAAAAAAATGTTTTTTATGAAAAATATTTTCTACATAAAACGTTTTTTCATTAGAAAATGTTTTATACCGAAAGAAGCATAACGTAAATGGTATATGAAACTAGAACAACAATCTTTTCAATTTTGTGGCAGGAAAACCTAGTCTTCTTGGGTTTGAACACAGAATATTTTTGAGAGTGAGAGGATTATGATCTGTTGCTTGGCGAATATCTTAGGACGATTCCATGTACATAGTCAAAGAGAAAGTGAAATTCAGACCACTAAGCAATACTTTTCCCAACATCCCCTCTCTCTCTCTCTCTCTCTCTCTCTCTCTCTCTCAAACAGGAAAAAATAAAATAAAAAAAAGAAAAGAAAAAGCAGTTGATTCTTCGAACTTCGAAATGGTCAAAAGGCAAGCAAATCCCTCACGTGTAAATGTGCGTATTATGTATAGCTACTTGCATGGTGGGACAGAGTTTCTGAGCATGGTATCGATTGGATTAGATTAGGGTAAAATCAGAATCAATCAGTTATTTATAATTTTTAAAAAATTAGAATCAATTTAATTCATTTAAATCGTGAAACTAATTCGAACCAATCAATTTAAACACAGATTAGATCGGTTTAGGACTATGAATTTATATAATTAAATAATAAAAAAATATATATAACACTTTAATTTCGTAAAAATATAAATATAGCACCATATTTGTTTCACGATAGCAACATGTCTTTTCATAATAACGACATATTGTTTTAGAATTTAAATAACTATAAAAAAATTTGTCCCACTATCAGTATTTAGACCATTACAAATTAATATTAAAAACTAGCAAAAAAAAGTAATAAAAGAAGATACTATGCCAGTTTAGGTTTGGATTTAAGTTTTATATGAAATAAGAGAAAATATTGTGCAGGAGCGTGTATAATAAAAATATAGACTATTTGGATATGGTCCGAATCGGTTCCAATCCAGAACCGCGGGATTCAATCTGAAACCAATCCGTATATTACGGATTTTTAATTTTTCAATCCAGAACCGAACCACGTATTCAAAAAACCAATCCAAACCTACTGGATTGGACTGAACTGGATCGGATTACGGATTTCACAGATTCCTTACTTAGCCCTAATCCTTGCATGTAATTATTGTTGGACAATCTTTATTATATTTAAAATAAATAAATAAATTCTGTTTGTGTACTTAACAATAAACGGAATACAGAAGAAATAAAGGAAATGAAAGAGATTGTTTGATTACAAAAATCAAGCCAGTAAATAATAATTTTTTTTTTATTTTTTTATTTTTATTTTGTTATAAAAACAAAATCAAAATTTAATATAAATAAATAATAAAACAGAAAATAAATTAACAACTTATTTTATTAATTTCTCGAACAAAGTTTTGATCAAGTCCAATGTTTAACACTGTGTCCTTAAGACAGATTCGTCCTCTCCACGGTGCTTTCAGATTGTGGACGTTTATCTCTCAGGATAAAATGATCAATAGTGAATAGTAGCAGCACTATAAACTATTCGCACAACGAACACACCAAGTGTTTACACTTTTTCTCACAAGGAAAATAATGTAGCAAAATGCAGAGAGAGTAGGCAGAATTTGGGATGAAAATTGGAGTAAAAAAACCAAGTGAGGGACTTCTTATATATAGATGTAAAAGTGGCTGTACAATTTGAATTAAACAAGTGCAAAACCTATTTGAACATGTATTATATATGTTCAGTTTGAATGAACAGGTAATGTGGCTGTTGGGTTTAAATTCAAACAGATATGAATTTGTTTGGTTTAAATTCAAACAGATATTCATCTGTTCGGGTGGTGAAAAAATCGGAGCTAATTTTGAAATTAATTTTCGAAATTTAAATTCCAAAAAATTAAAATTTAATTTTAGAAAATAAAATTCAAATGTTTTTTGCCCAAAAAGATAGGTATGGGCCGGACAAGCCCAACCCAATCACACACCACACACTCGCGCTGAAGCCCAGCTTGCTTGGACGGGCGGCGGTTGTGGTATGTGTGTGTGTTTATTTTGGGTCCAATGGGACTAGCCCACTTTGCTTGTAACCTCCTCCTCTACAAAAGTTGAGTGCCCCTTGAGGCCTACCCCAAGTTCCAAACTCAAGTCTTATAAATCCATTCAAAGTTTGCCAACCAAATCAATGTGGGACAAGCCTTGAACCAAATCTTTAGGAGATTTCACCAAAAACACAATTTCCATGGAGTTCTCTTTGGTTTCAATTTTCCATTCACCCGATAATAGTTTTGAGTAACCAAACATACTACATGAATTACAATGCAGCATAGAACGCATTACCACTTAGACTTGCCAATTTTGGCGCATGGGTCCCACCTAAAAAATAGACCAAAGTTGAGAAAAAATCTATTTTTTTTCCAAAACTTCCAAAACGCATTTCTAACAATCCCTTACATGAACGGAATTTGATGACAACGGAAATGCAACAATATGCATAATTTGTCGAAAGAGTATAAATCGAAAATATTTTGCATCAGGATAGGTAACTTTTGGCGTTAAACCTTCCCTAGTGATAACCTATCGGACTTACTAGCTAACCAATGGACGTGATGCCTTGAATTGTTCATCCGTTTGTGTAAGTCAAGATAATAGATTTCACATAAAATATCTTTTGACACATTGTGGTTTTCACGGTTGTGTTCATTTTGGCCTTGAACGCTCCTGGTTGTTCATGAGTGCTTTCTAAAGAATTTAGCCTTTTCATTCTCATTGAACTGGTCTTGGTTCGACACTCATATAGATGATTCTTATTGTGAGTATCTTCTTATACTCGTTTTGATTTTTATGCATAAATCAAGATATAAGTAATTATTAAAATCAATGTTTATCCTTAAACCCCTACATACAACATATGTTGCAGATATCACTCTCACCACAGGAATGGGTAGGGAATTTTAATCCGTTGGTGATTTCTGATGAGCCACACATAACTTAGTTATCCCTTTGAACTTAGTTCTTAGGATCTCTAGTCATATAAATAGGGTTACCATTACGATGACTCTTATGTAATAGACTTTAATCCCATCCCTTTCGATGAATTATACACTTGTTCTTTAGTCAAACCTTCTGTTAATGGATTCGCAATATTCTCTTTAGATTTTATATAATCTATTGAGATTATTCCATTTGAGAGCAATTGCCTTATGGTATTATATCGACGACGAATACGTTGTGACTTACCATTATACATATGATTCTATGCCCTGCCTATTGCAGATTGACTATCACAATGAATGCAAATAGCTAGCACAGGTTTAGGCCACATTGGAATATCTTCTAGGAAGTGGCGAAGCCATTCTGCTTCTTCTCCTACTTTGTCTAAAGTAATGAACTCATATTCCATTGTGGATTGTGCGATGCATGTTTGTTTCGTGGATTTCCAAGAAACAACAGTGCCTCCCAGAGTAAAGACATATCTACTAGTGAATTTTAAATCTTTAGTATCCGATATCTAATTGGTATTACAATAACCTTCTAGTACTGCAGGATATCGAGTAAAGTTCAAACCATGATCACAGATAAATCGTAGATATCTAAGAACCTGGATGATCGCTTTCTAATGGTCTTCTCCGAGGTTACTAGTGTACCTATTCAATTTACTGTCAGCATAAGCTATATTAGGACAAGTACAATTCATTAGGTACATTAGGCTTCCAATGATTTGGGAGTATTTTAGCTGAGACACCGCATCACTTTTATTTTTCGATAAATAAAGACTGATGTCTACGGGTGTTCTAGCTACATTTATATCATCCTTGATATATTTACCAAGAATTTTCTCAATATAATGAGATTGAGATAATGCATATCCATTAGATGTTTTAATAATTTTCATTCCTAATATTACATCTGCGACTCTCATATCTTTCATATCAAATCTTTTGTTCAGCATTTACTTAGTTGATTTGATTATGTTTTGACTGCTTCCAATGATAAGCATGCCATTCACATAAAGACAAACGATGACATAACCCTTGTCAGTGTTTTTAACATAGACGCATTTGTCACATTCGTTTATCTTAAACCCATTAGTAAGTATAGCATGATCACAATTTCATGTCATTGCTTAGGCGCTTGTTTTAATCCATAAAGAGATTTTATAAGCCGACAAATTTTCTTTTCTTGCCTTGACACTACAACCCCTTTGGGTTGATCCATATAGATCTCTTTATTTAGATCATTGTTTAAGAAAGCTGTCTTAGGGGTGGTTTGGGATGATCTAAATAAGTGCATTTTTTGATTTTTTATGAAATATGGGTTGTGTATGGGTTGGGTTTGAAGTGATGCGGTAGAGAGGTGATGTGACTTAAATAAGATGATGTGACTTAAATAGGATAGTGACTTTTTAGTTTTTTTAGTATACCCCAAACCAAGCCTTAACATCCATTTGATGTATTTCTAAATTGTACAATGCTGCTATAGCAATGAGCATGTGGATGGATGTTATTCTTGTTATAGGGAAATATGTGTCAAAATAGTCCAGACCTTTCTTTTGTTTATAACCTTTTACTACAAGTCTTGTTTTATACTTGTTTATTGAACCATCTGCTTTCATT